GGAAAATGCAATAGAGATAAGTTATTTATTGCAAATTCATGGATATTGTAGCTGAAGAAGAATGCCAAATTCTTTAAAGATCACTTTTCAATCTCCATATTCTATTGGGACAAAGTGGTGTTTTTTCAGCTTCACTTCAGGTGAGGGCTTTCGGTCTCTTTAGTTGTTTTGCAAAAGAAATGGGTAGTATCTTGTGTTATGGCCACCTTGTTTTCTAGCTTTCTAATTTTTATGTTGTAAGAGCATATCTAATCCTCAAATTATGTAACTTCTTTTTTTATCTTTCCAAAAATATTTCTTCTTCTACCTAAAAGGACTAGATGCCTATTCTTGAATAATTATAGCTTTGGAGGAATGAAAAAAAGAAGAAAGAACATTTTATCCATACGCTTAACATTAAAGACAATAATTATGCAAAAGATCCTCATGCATGATTCCTCACATTGACTATCCAGGTCTTCCAACATGATCTCCCCCATAAGAGAGGGAAAAACAATAGGTATTGAGCATATAAAATTCTGGGATAACTACTGCTAATAAGAATAAATAATAAGATTTATTTCTTAAAAGAAGGAAATTAATGTATAAAACTGCATACCGTTTTCTAGCTCCATCTTGGACCGGTTTCTTCTCTGTTGGCTGTTTTTCAAATGGTCGGCACCCGTCACGTTTCCACCAAAACTGAGGACACAAACATTTGGAATGCGTTGGGACATGGCAAGACAATTGTTATGTGAAAAATAGAAGTACACGCGATCCATAATATCAAGAAAGAGAGAGGATAAGCTCACCCAATTTCTTTCACGTTCTAATATATGGTCAACATTATGAAGGAAATCTTTTCCCTTAGGCGGAGTAATCTCAAGCAATTTCTTTACACGCTCCTCACAAGATTTTATTTCTTCCTTCTAAAATAAACAAGAATGGATGTTAAAGAAATATTTTGCACTTTGCAATATGTATATATGCATTAATTAGGTCTATCTACAGCTCTAAGCAAGAAAGCAAGGCAGCTGAGTCACAATATTGCAAAAGATAGAGACAAATTCCCATGAAGTATAAACTACGTATTATTCAATTATACATGCATCAAAAGTATAGCTGATTTGATAATGTCGAATGACTGACATCAGATAATAGGAAACAACTTTTTGAAGAAACTGAACTCCAGAGAACTCACATTTACCTTCCCACTCAGTTTACCATATAATAGAGGAGGTTGCTAGAGTTGATTATGAAATAAGAACATCAGAGAAGTCATATTTACCTTCCCACTCATTGAGACAGGTGTATGTCATGTGGTAAAAGAAGTGCATGGTAACTATGGTTCTCTGAACTTTCTGTGTTATTATGGTAGGTAATTAGCATCTCCAAGTCTGTCAGAGGGCTCAAATTTCTGATTCTCATGGTGATTTAAGGATTTTCTCAGGGATTATGGCAGCTAGAAATCAATATTCTGTTGAATGGTGTTTAGAGGACCCAATAAACATTCTGCCTTTAGTGAGTGAGAATCCAAGAGGAAAGGTTTTCAATGATTATCGAATTTTTTGTTGCAGGTAGAAAGAAGAAGATAATTATTCCTGGGGGCTGCAGGTCAGAGTGGTTAAAATTGACAGATAGGTTACAGTCTTGTTATTAGGAGCAAAAGTCCTAGTAATGGCTCTGTAATCCACCACAGCAATTATAGGCTTAAAAACCTCATTAGGCACTCCATCAAGTTAAACCATAAAGGAAGCTGTGGAGATACACTGTTAGAGCCACTTGCACCACCTTTCCTCAAAACTGATCCTTCCAAGAGATATAAAAGAAAGGCCACGACAGATGTTCGTAAGTCTTCTCAATATCCAATGAAATAAAAATCCTCTCCACTCTCTTTAAATTTCAGGATGGTATCAATAACCTTGTTAGCTGTTAGAAGAGCATCAAGAATTTGCCTACTCTCCACAAAGGTAAACCCAACTTGAGAAAGGACTCAACAACTTCATCAGCTATTAAAATATGATCAAAAATCTGCTTCGTTACATGAAGCTATTCCCCAATTTGCAGACAGAATCAATGACCTAATTAGCTATTAAACAACAAAACTTGAACCCATCAAACAACAACCAAATTTTGCAACAAAGAAAATTAAACAACAATTGAGTAGACTTTACAAAATAAAAGGTTTGCTTTGGATAACTTAATTAATGAAAACAAAGCAATATCCATCTAACTAAAAAACATTGGGAGGGGGATAGATTCATAAACCAACCATGGAAAAGCACTAACCATGCTTTCAGATGGCAAATCTTTGTCAGTCTTCCCGGGTGCCTATGAGAAAGCAAGAGTTGGATTTCATCCATTAGATGAAGGAAACATACATTCTTAGAGTTGATACGTTTACAATTATTACCTTCAGATAGTCAAACAATATGAGGCACTGCACAAGAAAATGGCGTCGAAAACTTGGATCCTTTAACTGTCATCAAATAGAAATAGAACAGCTAAGACCGATTGCTAGAAACTATATACAGACACCATCTAAATGGTGGTTACCTCTAAACCCATTAATTTACTGCTTGTTAGATATTTTATACTGAAGGTTGCTGCCTCTTCCTCCAGATTATTAGCATGTCCCTCTTCATCACTTAACGGCTGGGCTTGAAAGGTATTCAATACAACCTAAACATTTGAAAATTGAGAAAAGGAGTGAATTACCAATTAGTCACCAATTTCTGTGAATCTTTTTCTGGATGGATTTGAATATTGGATAGAAAAATAGAGATAACATATCCTCACTGGAAAAAATTTTCAACATATGAAATGCATGCCATTGACAACTATACTTATGGAACATATGGAAAACAGACAAAGAAACAACATAATTAAAATGAGACAATTGTTTAGGCATTTAAAAATCATACCATCAAGTTAGATGTAAATTTCTGCCATTTGCTAGGTGCAATAGTTAGAGACGTTGGGCTACAAAAATGTTCCTGTAGTTTAGAAAAAAAAAGTATCAGTACACTTATGTGAGAATCTCTCCTCATGACTATATCAGAAGTGGCTAACAAAGGCCCGGAGATTCTCTTTTTGCACGAAGGACAAAATCAAGAGCTTTAAAATAAAAGATCAATGACATGCACATACACTGCATAAGTAAAGATGGTGGAACAAAAAAACAATTGTAATAACAGTATATTTGTTAATTTTTCTCACTGCATTTTTTTCTTTTTGGATGAAAAACATATTATAAGAGAGAGGAGAGAAAGGTACAAAGGCAGAGGGCAAAAAATCTTCCTAAAAAGGAAAAAAAAATCGTCAAAATAACAAAGTATTTCAGACCCTTTGCTGATAGCCAAACAAAAATCCGTAAAATAATCATGACACTTAGCCCATAAAGCAGCAAAGAAAGCCATTATGTCCCAAAATAAAGATGGATGGCTAGTTTGATCCTGGAAATCCCTAGCATTATGCACTAACCACGACACTCACAGAATAGCCAAAATAGTACATCTCGACAACACACAAAACATCCTTCTCATTCTTGCCTCCATTTAGGATTAGAAAGAAAACAGTCAATAGAGGGGGGACCCAACAACAACCGAAAATATTTAAAAAGACAGAACAAAGCCTCCAAGCTACCTCAAAATGCTAAAAAAGAGATAACTATTAGATTCTACCAACTTAAAACATAGAACACGTATTCAGAGAAATGGCAAGAATAGGTCGACGGATCAGATCATTAGTATTGAGCCTATCAAGAGCAACTGTCCAAGCGAAAAACTTAACCTCCTAGGGAAATCTTAGTCTTCCAAATATGCACAGGCACTCATGGAGGCTAGAGGAAGTATGGGTGAGATGAGAAAAGAGAGACCAGCAAGAGAACAAATTAGAGGACTCCAAGGTGCAAAGTGTACTATTAGGAAGTCGAGATACAAAAAGGCTCAAGGAGGTTAGAAGAAAAAAAAACCATGTCTTCAGGGTCATGATCGTTGAGGTTTTTAAAGAAGAAATTCCAAGTGGTTTGCCCATCCATCTGATGAAGGAAATGCATATGAGAGCGTGATGGCATGAAGAGAGGAAGCGAGGGAAAAGATTAGCAATGGGGAGATCCCCAGTCCAGAGATCTTCCCAAAACAAAATATGGGAGCCATCACATTGACTCAAGTTTCAAATTTCATAAACTGATTATAAGCTTATCAGACTTTCAGATAAAAGTATTGGTTAATTTATCTTTTCTTCTTGATAAAAAGGAAGAAATTTAAATAAGAGAGGAAAGAATTACAAAGTAAAGACTAACGAAGATAAATTCAGCAACCATCACAAAGCAATGAAATAAGAAAATGCCCCTAAATAGCAACTCTAGATACAGCAATTAACTCCTGATTATTGCCATCTACAACTATGCTTAATAAGCTAATCGACAATATACTAGCTGCAAAATAGCTGTTAACAAAAATCCTAGGTTATTTAAGGATCATTCTTTACCATTCTTCAGAACGGAATGACTTCTTTGACTTCTCTTTGGACTAAGCCTCATATGTATTTTAGGGATATCTCTTTAGCTATTATCAAAGGGCCTGGGCTTCAGTTCTGTAATGATTTTCTTTTTATTGTTTGTGTTTCTTTTTTCTTTTTCTGTTGTCTGGGATGATCTTTTAACCTCTGCTCATATACCTTCCTCTTTTCCCTTTCTCTATCTTACATATATATATATAAGAAAGACAAGGAAATCAAGAAGCTGGTAGAGCATTGTTCAAACTTGAGACAATGTTTGTAAAAATGGGATTCTAAAATCAAATATTGATGCAGCTAAACCAAGATGCGCACATAAGCATGAGAGAGAGATAGAGCAAGACTCAAGCAACCACAAATACTCTTAAACTGCTAAAAGAAAAGAAACGAAATGGGGAGAACAAGAATGGGGGAAAAGAGAGAAGGAAAATAACTATCTCTAGTAAAGTATATTATGCATGTCAATTTCCTGGTGGTGTCACATCAAGAAGATAGAGAAAGAGAGATTTGTGTGTATGCATACAGTTGCTTGTCTATGCATGTGTTTGCATGGAGATGAGAGAGAGAAAGAAAAGAGGTGCAAGCACCAAATACATAAGTCAAAATTTGACTAATCAACAGATAGATTACTGTCTAAATGCAGGCTAATTTACCTGTAGACTCCAAAAGGTTTTATAAAAGTTGAAATCAACTGAAATTCCTGAGAAGCAATGAAAGATTAGTATCCACGATCAAGCAAGATTCCGACAAATAGTAAATAAAAATTAAAACCTGAAACTTAATTAATAATGTACGATGTGCCCGAAATGTACCAAGAGGAGGATCTTTCTCATATTTGGTATCATTTGATGTATTGAAAACACCTTTTATATTCACAGCTGCAAAATTTTGAAAAAGACCTAAAAAAGCTATTCCACAAACTATAAGCATAACGAAATTGAACATAAAGACTGAACAACAGAAAATACCTGACCGTTCAGATAGTGGGAAAAAATGAGCAAGAAACATGAGAATTCTTCCACAAAAAATCACATCATTCGCCTGTTTCAAAGCAAAAGCAGAATACATCTCAAGAAAGTTGAATCACAGAAGATGACATTTTAGCCACAAGAATTTTAAATAAAAATTACCAAAAAGATTAAGAGTAGAATTAGTTTCAATAAGTTCTTTTTCTGATAAAATGATGTTGATTTTGCAGGTGGGAAGACTTTGTTTCAAGTATCCCATTTAAAATTGGAGAACGTGCATTGTGAGTTTCAGGAGGATGTTTGGTGCGAATGTAAACATGTTTGGTGCATTGTGAGTTTCAGACATCAATTTCTAAGGCTGTTCAACTTTGTCCAAGAATGTAAACATGATTTTTCTTTCTAATATATAAAAGAAAAATATTAATGAAGGGGAGAAAAGAGTACAAAAAAGAACAGAAAAAAGGAGAAAAAGAGCAACTATTCTTGTGAGAGAATGATTAACCAATCTCTTTATCATGAGGTGCCTATCTAGAGTACGACTCCCCACTTCACATGATCACCAACTAGATGGAGCAGAAATCGACCCTCTAGTTTTCAAGATGTATCCCCTCAAGTTGGCTCCTTTACAGTTCCGCCTGGAAGCCTTTTACTAGGAAGAAGATCTTGAAAACAAGGAATACAACTCATATTTCATTTCTGGCTTGGGAAGCTGCTTGGAGCAAAATTCTACCAGATAACTTGAGAACGCGAAGAAGGTGCTTGTCATGGTTGTTCTTTTTGTGCCGACACAAGAACAGTCTCCCAATCATCTGTTGTCATGGTAACTTCTATCCTGCAAGGATAGAAGTCAGTGGGTGATTGGGAAGTCAGTGGAGCCTGCAGATGAACCTAGGGAATGTACGATATCAAGGCAGACGGGAAACAGAAAAAACTGATTGCTCTCATTCTGTTGGCCATTTTTGTGGGTAATTTGGACAGAAAACAAAGAGAGAGTTTGAACGTAGTTGTTCCCACTTGATATAATTAGATATCACTGTTTGTAAAAGAATAAATTGAAACATTTGCATTGCTCTTGTTGTTATTCTGGAGAAACACTTCACATATCTATGGATATGACAACAATTGTGAAATCAAGAATAAGAACTTAATTATATAGAAAACTGGCTACAGACGGAAGTATTATATTGAACTTAATAAAATAGGAAAGATTCTCAGTCTCCAATAATTGAGATCCTTTGTTTCTAGTCCAAGATTCGCCTAGTCCCCAACAAGGACCACCTAGGGGACATCATTGATATTTTTAGAAACTAGGAGATCATTCTTTTGTATTTGGACGGTGTCCCTTTAGTTCATTGTGTTTCAACAATCCCATTTAGTGTTGCCAAGAGACTAAAATTAATTCAATGTAGATTCATTTGAAGCAACTATGAGGATAAGAAAAAATATCACTAGGTAGTGTAGGATAAAATTAAAAAGTTTCGAGATTCATGAAAGAAAACGGTATCCTATGGTGGAGAGTGATAGTGACAAAGTTCAGTATGGTGGATAGAAGGTGGTACTTCAGGATATTGACTAGACTGCATGGGAAAGGGATGTAGAAAATATACATAGATAGAAACAAATTCCAGCATTGCATCAGGTGGAGAGTCGACGTTGCGGACAAAATCAACTTTTAGCAGGACGCTTGGCTTAGAGGGGGATTGCTCAGGGATCAGTTTTGCCACATCTCTGTATTGCACCGCACAAAGATATCATGATTTTTGAGTCATTTGAAGATGGAAGGAGGGGAGAGGGGGGATGGAAGGAGGGGGGAGGATGGGGGGAGGAAAGAGAGTGGCATCTGGAAGTGATGAGAAACCTCAATATTTGGGAACTTAAGAATTATGAGACTCTTTTCAATACATTCTCCTTCATCTTAATTAACGAGAGCAATGACCAACCAATATGGAGTTTCTAGGTCAAGCGTATCTGATTAACAATGACACTCGAAGATTTTTTCCTTTTCGGCAAATCTGGAAGGTTAATACTCTATCCAGAGTTGTTTTCTTTGTGTGGGAAGTAGATCGTGTGTGTATGCTTACTATTGACA